TTCATAATTCTGGTGACTATAATAATTATATTCTAGATTACTCACTAATCCCAATGTTTACATCAAGATCTATCAAGTAAGGATCAGCTAGGTAAGACGGTTGGGAGGCAGGATTATTTGGGCATATAGCTTTTCTGAAATCTAACAACCAAGCCAATGTGACCATTCTAGACACCTCGTGTGTAAGTAGATCAATTAGTATAACGACATGGAATTACTAATAAATCTTATTTATAGGTTCATAATAATGACTATGACTTATAAATATAAATTACACTAAAATAAGGATGAGTGTAATTTAACTTATAGAGATTTCCTAGACAAAAGTCTGAAAATTACACTGTCAGAGCTGCTACTTGCTAGCTACTACTACTTTAGGGATCGCAGGGCTTCTCTGTAGACTAAAACTAAGGAAAAATAGGCAAAAATCGAAAGCAACTCGAGAGAGAATAAATTAGGAGGTATGGGAAGAGAATTAGCCATTTCAAGCTATTTATAGGCGATTTTTGGGGTGCACGGCGTGCAAATGGGGTGCACGTCAAGCATTTTATGGCTACGTATCCCCAACTACTTTGTTCCACGTGTCGGCCTATTTGTGGGCCATGTTTTCACCTTCTAGAAGCGCGCGTTGCGCACCCGCCGCGCACGCGACGCAAAACGCAGATTTTGTAAATTTCGTTACTTTTTCATACAAACTCCGTTTTTGACATTCTTTATATCCTCGGAAAGCTCTTGATGAGATCTACAACTTTCCTTTAGACCCTAACAGCTAATTCTTACTTTATTTTTCATTCATTTTTATAAAATTAAATGATTTTGCTAAAATCATAACTCCCTCGTACGGACTACGTTTTTGACATTTTTTAAAATTTTTTTTATCTTAAAGAGTACTAAGATTTTCCTTTTGGTGACTTTAGCTAAAGGTCAATCATTATCTTCGTAGCTTTTTATGTCACACATTCCTTATGTGCGACTGACTTTTATATCTTATAAAAATCATATATAATGCATAAGGAGTCAGATTTCTATGAAATTTATATTTTCGAGATCGGGATGACGTGTACTTTTTAAATATATAATAATATATATGTTTTGGCACACTCATTTTTAAGATTTATGGACAATTCAGATTATTTTTCCTATTTTTGTTAATATGAAACTTATATTATATGGTGTGTAGCGCACATGACTATAAATTATCTCATTCAAGGATTTTAATTTTAATAATTATTACTCATTATGTGCAGCCCAAATGTAGATGTGTTACATCTTCGTGTGCACCCGCGAGGCGTGCGCTTTGACAACTCGATTCCTCAGGATATGGATGACGTTGCACCATGAGAAGAGGACATTTGTCAACCTTTGGGTGGTTCACGTGCAAGTTGTGTGACGCACACTACACGGCGCGCACCCCCACCCCCTATAAATATCAAGTTTCGGTTGATCCTTTCTCACACCTCAAAATACACATCACTCTCTCTCCATTTCCATGGCACTGACTCCCGAGTGCCTCTCAACTTCCGGACTCCCGAATGCTACCCTACAACAATGGTTTCACGCTTCACAGGTGAGTTCACGACCCCATTTTCTAAACCTTTTCGGTGGGGAATACATGTTAAAATATAAATATTTCATAGTTATTACTAATCGTATAACATTAGTTAGATAATTATGCTCATAACATTAGGATGATATTATGGCACAGTAGATACTCTGACCAACTTTTAAAGATAATAGTATGCCTACTTGTTATACTGACTCACACTGATAGAAAATATCATACCTAGTTGTTACGCTGACCAGTTACTAGGAAACATCGATACTCTAGTCGTTATTATAGCCATCCTTTGGATAAGCTTAGTACCTAGTGCTTACTCTGTACAAATACTCGGCTACGCAAAACACTCTAACATAATTTATATATATATATATATATATATATATATATATTATATATATATATATATATATATATATATATATATATATATATATATATAATAAGTATCTCGCATAAATACAACGAAGAATAACAACACAATCGACCAGGAGAGGCCCTCACAACAAGCGTTAGATGAGATACGATTCATCCACAAGCTAAATAACCTTTAGCTACTAATCCGCAGGCCTATAATTTTAAAATATTGAGTGAACAGGAACGATCTGTATAGGTCTATATAGAGTTGACACCTATGCCTGTAGTTGCTAGCTACAACCCGACAATAGTCGGAATAGGCATAACTTTGTTAAGTACGAATGACGTCTGATGGACAACAACATCAGTCAGAGATCGATTATAAGAACTCATCCTAAAATTGTTAAATTTATGTTACTCTCTTTAAGGGACGCCTCAAAGGGAGTAGGAGTACACACAACACGATAAAAGAATACTAGGATAGTATTACCCTAGTAACAACAAAAGATTCTAGAAGTTTTATCAAGAAATAAAGAAAGTAATAATATACATCTTTCTATTCATTAACAAAGATCCAAATTCATATATATTTACTGAACTATCTGAATCCACTACCAGAACATTAAGGAAACAATTTGGTATACACAGTTCCACTAGCATAAGTTGAGAATACAACAAGCGCTGACCTAACAACCTCAACAAAGTATTTTTAAAGTATACAAAACCTTTGAACTCACCAAAATTATATTGACCTTTCAGACTACATGTATTCCTAGGTCACCAAATGGAGACAGAAGATATTTTAGTAAAAGCGTATGAAGTTATTAGTTGTCTACCGAAGAGTATGGTTATCAAGATAAAACTGAATGTAATAACGTAAAGCCTTTATGTAAGTTATCATTTGTTAGATGGAAGTAACATATATATGTTATGAACGATATATATCTGTGATACAAAATCCTAAAGTCGTGTTGCCTGGCGTTTCCACCACCATGTGGGAGGTGTGACAGATTTGGATTCAATTTTTGTTGGCCACTTTAATTGTTGTTGAACCATTCCAATTATCTGATTGTCTAGATCCGTAATTTTCTTTATTAATCAGTAAAAGTGATGAATATTTGATTGGTTCAGTGTCAGGATTAACTCTAATATAAACTGATTAGACAAGTCTTTAAGCTTCCGAGCTTGTGAGAAGTATTAGACTTTACTGGGAATTTTACACGGTGTCTAGCGCTGCTTTTCTTAATTAATTAAGAGCTTATTTAGTTAATTCAGTAAAAAGTAAGGTTTAACTCAAATAGATTGTTTTGGTTAAACATTTTACTAAAAAGAAAATTGTTAAATCATATTAATGATTTTCAGTACCAATTTAAACAATACACAATTTAATAAACATGTTGAAAGTTATTTGCATGATTAAAAGAGTCACCGCGAAACTGAAATTGCTTTTACCTTATGAATTTTACTCAAGTATTTTAATTGTGATTTCTTTTATAAATAAGTTTATTAATCATCAACCCCCACCCCCCTTAAATTTTTTGTTAAATTAGTGTGTGTCTTACGCAAGAGACGCATAGACCTTATGACGTATCCATGTGGATTCGACCTTGCTCTCCTGTACTACTCCTAGTGCATTTGAGCAATATTTATATTTATATTATTTATTTTTTTAGGCGTTGCGACATGCTCTTAACACTAACACCCCAGTGGAAACCAAAAATGTAAACGTGACGTTGACACATGTCCCAAACGAGAATTCCAAAGATAAAAAACAGACGATGAAGGTCTTAAACAAAAAGAAGACAAATCGATAGTAGAAGCATTAACATCACACTATTAGAAAACAGCCCTTTAATGACGCGTGAACAATGACACGCATTGATTTACGATACGCATTTTTACGTGCCCTAAAAATAATGTCAGCTTTTCCTAAAATTCAAGAATAGAGGACACGCATTTTTGCGTGCCCTATAATTTGCGTCAAAAAAAAAACAAACACGGAGGGCACCTTTTATAAATAGTGTGTCGTCTTGGTCTGTCGTTTTATAAAATATTTTAATGAAAGGCGCGTCTGCATCTCGGTATACCTAAGGAGGGAAATGAAATCCCAAAAATCAAAAACCCCGCTCATTCTCTTCTCCCTTGTTTCCACCAGTTATGCCATTGATTTTTTTATTCGTTCACACTCTAGAACAAGCACATACATCACTCTCTTATCATTCTCCTTTAATTTCTTACTCTTGTAATTAAGGATTTAGGGTTTTTTCATATTACTGTTCCAATTTTTTTTGTTCAGGTTTGGATGTTAGTCAAATGGCGTCCCTGAAGGAAAGTCTAATGCGTCGAGCCGTCGGCCTGTGGCGGCGACAGTCCGTCTCGCCATCCCAGTTGGCGGAGGAATACCTGGACCACCGGTAGTAGGTCAATACAAAGTCAACTCTTGCACCTAGAAATACAAATCAGAATCCCTCGATTGTAGCGTCGATCGAAAACTACGACAACCCTAAAACACATCTATGAAATCGCAAAGGTGAAGCAATCAGATCTGTAGTCCAATTTCTTCCACATCGATCCTCACACTAACTGGTTCGGCAACTGCAACTCCTCTCCATTGTAGTGTCAATCGACAACTACGACTCATCAACTGGCAATCGAAGCTACCAGTTCAACGAACCCTAATCAATAACTACATGGATAAGGTACTTGTTGGCTATTCAATTCAATTCATCTTAATTTCCCCCTTCATATATGTTTTTCATTGGATTTCTCTCAACTCACAGACGCAATGGCGTCAAGATCGTACGAAAAATTCACTGATATCTGCGATCAACTTATGCTTCAGGTAACATACATATGAATCTGTGTAATGATCATTGTGCGCTAATCGTTGCTTACTACTACGACTGACTGTGTGTTGGGTTAAGATTTGAAACCTTAATTTTATATCTGCTGGCTTGATTTCAATCTTACTGTTACTTTCTTTTTCCTTTTTTCATGTAGATTGCTTCACAAGGCGTTGCATTTCAAGACGAATGGTCGTATGCCGTTCATCTTCTAGGGCACATTTACCTTAATGATCTGTTACTTAAGACAATTTGTCTCTGTTTTTTGCCATTGCTAACTTTATTAGACGCGATAGTTCCTTAGTTATCTACAAAATAAACATAATATCATATAATATATTCAGTTAACTGATATAAAAAATAACAATAATTTCATTTTTGCTTAATTGTGTAGATTTTTCTAACCTCCAATATGGAAAGAGATTGAACATTCTTGATGTTTGCTACAACTAGTCCAGAAGGTGTGGCCATGGCAATTCCAATGTAGTGAGAGCCTATTAACAAATAAACAAACCACTTGACAGATTAATCAATTGAAAAATAAAAGCTAAAAAGAACATGTGAAATGGGAGAATATACAGACCTTTTAGAGTGACTTCATAATTTTCCAAGTTGAAGGTGTTGTTGACTAATGGATGTGTGGTCAATGCCATGGATAATGACTTTATTAACACGGGAAGGAATGTGAATTTAATATCTGGATCAGTATTCTCTTTCTGGAAAGCTGATTTAAGTTTCATAAGCCCATCACAGTTTATTTCTTCCACATAAAGAAAATGAGGAACACTAGCAGCTGCAGTCATTGACTTAACCATTGCACGCTGATAAGCCCTAGCAACAAAGAACTTCACAACTTTAATAACATGTTTACTTCAATCAAATTCATGAAATTGTTTATTGTTTATATAATAACAATAATACCTTAGAGAGAATATCTTATCATGATAAAGTGATTCAGCCATCTCTTGAAGTTGTTCTTCAGGTCCAGACATGGGTTCGATAGAAGTAGGATTAAAAGCAGGTTTGTCATCAATAATTCCTTTTTCTAGACCATATTTTAGAACATCTTCTTTCAATATTCTTCCATGTTTACCACTTCCAGTGACATCAGCTAAATCAATACCATGTTGCTTTGCAAGACTTCTAACAGCAGGGGTGGATAAATTGTCATTTGCATGACTCTTTCTGAGCTCTAGCTTGTGTTCATCAGACTTTGATCCATCAGAAACTACTAATGCATCAGAATCATTAAATGGAACAGCAGAATCATCAACCACCAATTGTAATAGAGTTTCTCCAACCTGAAATCAAAGTGAAATCAAAATTACTTTACCATATATATGGAAATTGTTAATACTACTACTGGTGTTTTACCTTTATAATGTCACCAGGAGCATGCAGAATCTTGGAAACTTTCTCTTTATAGCGGCTTGTTATTTCTATAGTTGCTTTATCACTTTGAACTTCACAAAGAGGTTCATATTCTTCAACATGGTCTCCCTGAAAAAACAAGTTTAGTTGGAATGATTCAATTAAAGGAAAGGAAGATGTATTTATTGTAAGACCAAATCAAATCACTCACATCCTGGACAAACCATTTGAGGAGTTCACATTCTGCAATACCTTCACCAGTTTGTGCTAAAGGTACATCTATAATGCCACCAGCTTGTTGACTATCCACTACATTACTTGAAAAGTAGTGCCCCTTAACATTCTACAGTTTGTTCAACTACATAATTAAGTACAACCAAATCATTACCTTTTATGATAATTGTATGAAGTTTTATCAAGTTTCAGATGAAATACCACTAATTTAATGGAATGCACCCTTGTTCATATAGAAACATGTAAAAGTTACTCAAAATTACAAATGTTGTCTTAGTTTCTGATGTATGACTTTTTAACTTTTGCAAGCAAGCATAGCAAATTTACAATCCGAAATTGCCAATTTTCATGTTGAAACCAGGCTATCTAGAAGTTTTCTGGAGAAATTTAACACGTGTGTAGAGTTTAGTCACTAAAAGTGACTCATTTGACCAGAAAAGGTAATAGAGACATCAAATTAGAATGGTAGTGGTGAATCTTTAGGAAAGATACATTCTGAAAAAAGATTATTGAGCAAATATTCTTTATCAAAACCATAATCCTTTTGGCTACAAAATCAAAACCTAACAGTTTCCTTGAATCTGGTGAGTAATTTTGAGAGAAGCAATTGCATAAATGTAGTTTCTTGTTCGATTTCGATATCTATGAGTCGAAAGAAGCCTATGCATGCACATAGGACTGAAATACATACACTCAGGTCGTATAGTGTTATCCTCTGATGATATGAGTATTTGTTTAATTGTTTGAAGTAATCATGCCTTGTTATATTTTGTGTATTCTGATTGTGATTTACTTCTTTTGCAGCAAATATCTTTCACAGAGATCTAAAACCTAAAAAATATTTTGGCCAATACGGATTGCAAACTCAAGATCTGTGACTTTGGTCTTTCAAGGGTTGCATTCAATGATCCACCAACTGCTTATATATATAAACTACCCTTTTGGCAGTGATTTTACTTAGTGTAATATACATGGGATTTGTCAAAGACTTAATTTGACTATTGTTGGGTCACGGGTTGGTGAAGTCTTTTTAATTTGACCTGAAACCCGGAACCCAGAGGTATGTTTATTCAGCTACTCATCAAAATGGTTCATGTACACCACATGATGATATATTATCAATAAATCAAGATACTAATAATAATTTTAAAACAAATTATGCCATTAATGACATTAATCACTTGCATTTGTGATTGTATTCATTACATATGGATTCAATACTTAGCTAAGTTGATCTAGCATTTTATTCTTCTAGGTTCACTCAATCAGTTCTTGTTTTTGTTGTAAATTGTAAATTGTAATTCAGGGTATTCTTGGTCCATGTGCATCACTTGAGAAGGTTCATATAATATTTTAAAGAATGTTGACTCTTTGTTGACTGATTGTTGTTTTTTGTGCAGAAGGTGCTTTATGTTCTGATACTAGCATTGGTCAAGGGGGTACTACTTCATGGAAGGTGCTTCAATACACACTTGCTTACAACAATGTACACAAACTAAGGAAATAGCAATGTAGTACTAGGTTATATAGTTAGGGAAAACCTCTTAATAATAATGTACAAATATTTGTCTACTATTGGAATGATTATTTGTATGACATTAACTTTTGTGCAATGGATTGCATTTTTTGTATATGGTATTTTATTTTCTATTATGAAACATGAAAAGCAATTTTAATTTGAAAATTAGTAAATCTATAAATAATTTTTTTTTAAAAAATTAAAATTACGATACGCAAAATGTGTGTCATCTTCATTTATGACATGGCCTTTCTTGACAGCGGCTTTAATGATACGCATTGTGTGTCATAAATGTGCGTCGTAAATGCGCGTCGTCTTTAGACGACGCGCAAAAGTGTGTCGTCTCTCGTTATGACAGGGCCTTCCTTGACACGCATTTGCGCGTCGTAAAAGGCTGTTTTTCTAGTAGTGTCAGCAACATGTAGTTGCTCCAAAAAATAAAGCTCCACAAATCTACGGACTATCCAAATCACTCCTCGAGTACGAATGTCCTGTACATAGCAAAACGAATCAGAAAATAAGACCCAACAACCAGACTTACACAACTGACTAACCGAATAAAGATCTAAAGCAAGTGTAGGAATATAATAGACATTTGTTAAAGAGATATAAGGAGTGACAGTAGAAGCAACACCCTCTACTGACGTAGGTGTAGCAATAGCTGACATAACAGAGACAGGTGAACGAGGTGATAACGAAGAGAAAGATGAAAAATGTGGTGACAAGTGATGAGATGCACCAGAATCCAATATCCATAAGGATAAAGGAATACCTGGAGTGTTGGATGAAGACGGACCTGAATGAGACATGGAAGCTGACAAGACAGTGGGACTGGAAGCATTGAACTGTCTAAACTGCTCAACAATCTGGGGATCTAAGTTTGATGGTGGTGTGTCTCATTCTTAACTGAAGGTGCAGCAACAGCGTACTCTGGTGGTCTAAAAGGTGGAAACGAGGTGATGGGTTTTGAACATTCTAACACTCCCATGGTGTACATGCAACCCTAAAAACCTTGGATCTATGTTTTCTCTATTATACATGCAAATATTCAATATTCCAAGGTTTCATCCTAACTAGCATAATATGAAGTATATACAATACAAGAATCTAGTAGAATGACATACCTTTTGATGCAGCTTGTGGTCTTGAACCTTTAAGAGCTTAGTGCCCCAAGTGTTGCACCTCAAATGGTTCACACAACACCAAGAACCCTTGGAATAACTTGAGAATAAGGATACTAGCACCAAAATCGGTTTTGCCCTCTTGTGTACACACACTAGTGCCATGTCATGAACTAGAGATCTATTTATATAGTGTGGAGGATTAGGATTACATTCAAGTAAACCCTAATACCCATGACCTTTCATTTCCATAGGATCCATGGGTTAAACACTCCATAGACTATCTATGAAGGCTTGGCCCAACCTAAATAAACTTGGCCCATCCTATATATATAAGAGTCCATATTTAATTAGTTCCTTTTTTATCAGTAAATTAATTCTAAATTAATTCTTGATAAATACTAATTAAATAATATGATTCCAAATTAATATATTAGAACTTATAATATATTAATATAAATCATAAGTATCCTTTTTCTCATTTTGTCTATCCAATTGTTCTGATGCCATGCAAGCCAAATGGACCATGCCAAATCGGGTCAAGTACATACCAATTATAGTTATGGACTTAGACACTAATCCAACAGTCTCCCACTTGGATAACTCTAAAACTATTATTGCGTATGACTCCAAAACCCGACTTGCAATCATAGCTCTTAAAGTCGCTGTCGAACTCTGACTTTGTCAATGACTTGTCCATTAGATAAGGGATCATATATTCCTCCATTCTAGATATCATATGGACTGAGACATGGATTATCAATCATTCTCTCTGTCCATTTGTTGTTTCCCGATTTCCGATTCATGATGACTGACTGATTGAACAAATCAAATCAGTCCAGGCTTGGCCAAGCACTTAGGGGTGTCATCACTAAATCATCGAGGGGCCCAGAGATATCGCTTTTATCCCTCCGAGGGTAAAAGGAATGGATAAACTTCGACTCATATGCTTGTTCTACTACTTGTTGAATCATACACAAAGGCACGTTTTATAACATCGAGTTACCAATGCGTTTTCGTACAATCAATGTATAACCAACTCATAGTCAACAACTCATATCTCTAGGTTTGAAGAATATAAGATATTATCGTCTCATGATCACTCGTGATAAAATCCATGAAGTAAATCAAATGAGCGTGGGTTTAATCCAATACTCGAATCTCATTCCAGGAGCACTCATGAATGTTGTAGCAACTCTTGCTATGTCCAACACCTTAGACATCTACAAACCCAATTCATGACAGTCTTGCCTTAATACCTACTTCCAACGTATTATCGAATGTGGATGGTTTGAATAACTTAGTCAATCGGAAAGAACGACCTAGTTATTTAGGAAGTCAAAACATGCAAAGTGAAACACAAGAGTAATTGAATCCAATATGGTCCCAGAACTTATGAATATAAATAAAACACCTTTTATTTATCACCATATTGATTACACATTATTCATTGCATAATGTTTCAAATAATCAACTTAATACTTGAATTAAGACAATAGTCATGCCATGCTCCAAGCATATACACTATGTTTGTCCAAACAATAGTTATGCCATACACCAAGTATGCACACTATGTTTGTCTATGATCCTTACTTTTGTGAAATAGATCAATTGAACATAATTTCAATGATTCTTATTTCACAATCCCATATCCTTATAGTAAATGTACGAATTCCAAATTCCTGCCATTCATCGAAATCTGTTAGATTCTAAACACTAATGCATTGATCCTCTTGTAATGACTATGCACAAAGTCACAAAGACTTGGCAATAGACATTACAAAGTACTCTAATGGATATCAGTTCCATGGAACCAAAGTCTCAAATTCAAAGTACATTCCTTTGAACATCCTCCTTGCATTAAGTTTCTAACTTTCTCATAGATTCTTAATATCCAACTCCCAATATGGAAAACACTTCCACATTCCCATTTCGACTATCACTTTCGAACAAGAGTCGCCTCTTTTCAGAATATGTCAATATGGTCCTTTCCAAAAATTTATACCATACTTCCGACTGTCCATAAGCAACCAATCTTTGGTAAAACCTCAGATTGTCCTCAACAATTGTTTAATCATTTTAGTCATATCCAATTCTAGACCTTTTCCCCTCTTAATGCCCTAGGCATTTGGAAAATTTAGAAAGGATAAATATTATAGCACATGTAATCGATCCTATATCTGAAGCATATGGGACACGACTCATGATGTCTCACATAAAGACATGATCCCAGACCAGTCTTTTGCTACAATATTTTTAATTTGCCATGTTTTCATAATTCGACTATGAAGAGGAATGTCGTAATCATAATCGAATTTTGAGAATGCAATATATATAGAATTTCCTAAAGTTG